CCGCCGTTACGGCGGGCGTTGCCCACGGCGGCTCAAGATTTGAACTTCAGTCATCACGATCACAGCACCAGCAGCATCGAGCTTGCGCAGCCCGCGCAGCCCTTGACGCTGTCGCTCTGAATAGTAGCGGATCATTCTAAGGTGTATGGAAGTATTAGGCGGCATGCTGTCATGGTACAGTATCGGGTGTCATCTGGCGCACCCAAGCTGTCCTCGTTGAATCATTGCGGGACTTGCGCCTCCAGCTTCCCGACGCCACTCACCGTCTGAATCCATATTCGGTATCTTGATCATATACATATGCACATTGCGGCTCACCTCTGCTTGATTCACACCGACAGCGGTGATCTCGCCTCTTAACGACCCTCACAGCCCAGCCGGCACTCAACAGCAGGTTTGTACGTCCTTGGCGAGGCTTGACGGGCATTGGAGCGTTGCGATCAGAGCGGTTGAAGGCCATGACAACGCCTTGCCGCCAAGCTCGCGACACGCCCACCCAGCGGTCTCGCACCGTCTGATCCGATCCCCTTCCATGCTTTCCGCGCAGATATGAGCCAGGCGTCCCTCCGTATGGGCCTCCGCGCCCCTTCCGCGGCCGCGGCCACCTCCCGCCGCGCCGCTTCGCGGATCGTGCCGCGCGCGGCCACTGCCAAGGTCTCGTTCACGCTGCCCCTCCATGTGGAGTTTGGCACTGAGGTCGCTCTCGTTGGCTCCAGCCCCGTCCTGGGTGAGCCAGGTCGCGCAGCCGGCCGCCCTCCTCGAGCGACGCCGCGGCCGGCGGTGGCGGCCTCTTGTCGGTTGGGCGGTCTATAAGTATCTGCGACGGCGGCGGCCGCGCCCGAGCCTGCGGATGCGCCTGAAAGCCGGAGGTCCCTGCCTCGCAGGGGCCTGCAGCCGCGCTTCGCGCGGAGAGCGCGCAGCCCCCATCCCACAAGCTGCCTCTGTGCCAGCCGGGCGTTTGACTTGCGACAGGGCCGACGCTAACCTGCTGCCATGCCCCCCCTTCCCGACGCAGGCGAGTGGGATGCGACGTCCGCTGTGCCCCTCAACTGGACCGAGGGCGACGTCTGGACGGCAGAGGCCGAGGTCCCAGTCGGGTGCGCTGCGAGGGCACGCGCCCGGGGCGCCCGCCGGCACCCACCACACGCCGGCGGCCCCAACCGCCCCTTGCGCCCCCTCTACAGGGGCGCCAGCTCGCAGCCGGCCTCGAATCGATCCCAGTCGTCCCTCTAACCCGCCTTGCCGCCAGGCTGCGCCGGCCCCTGCCCGCTGCCGCACTGGGCCCCGCGCCGATGCTGCCCTCCTTGACTCCCATGCCCAACCATGGGCATGGACACACATACACACACACACACAGTCACTCACTCGCAAACACGCACGCAGTCACACCACAATGACGCACTCACGCGCACCCCACAACAACCTCAACCCCCGGGAACACACTCCCACCCTCAGCTCGAGCGTCGAGTACAAGTACATCATCCGCGTCCCCGAGGACGGCAAGGTCCTGGAGTGGCAGCCCACCCCCGCCAACCTCGTGCTCTCCATCCCGGAGGCCGGCCCCGTGGCCGTGACCGACGACTGGGAGGGAGCCGCCCACGAGGTCGTCGTAGGCGCCGCTGCTGTTGCGCCTGCCGCTGCCGCGCCCGCGGCCGAGGACGTCATCCCTGAGGCGCCCGAGGTCGCGGCGGAGGTGGCTGCGGCGCCCGAGCCGGAGCCCGCCGTCGCGGCGCTCGCGGCCGAGCCCGCCGCCGAGGCCGCGCCGGCGCCGGCGCCGGCCGCGGAGGAGGTTGTGCTGGCGGCGGAGGCTGCGCCTGTCGCCGCCGTCGCCGCGCCAGCTGTGGCCGAGGCCGCGCCGGCCCCCGCAGCGGAGGAGGCGCCCGCCGCGCCCGTGTTCAAGGTGGGTGACGTGGCTTTTATTGGCAGCCTGCTCGGGCGAGGGGCCCCTGGCGCGCAGTGAGATCCGAGGTGTGCGGGGCACGCATGTCCCTGGGCCGCCTCTGGCGGCCGGGCCCGTCGTCCGTGCGGCTCTACTGAGTGCACGATCGGGCTCTGCCGCACGTCGACGCTTCCCTCGACATCTGAAAATTCTCGGGGGCGCTCATGCGTCGCTACTTCCTCAAATCCGAAGCCAGGTCAGATAGGCATGCCCGCTCCCGCAGCCCACCCCGCCCGGCCCTAACTCCAACAACCCTGCGCAGGGCAAGGGCCGCAGGCGCGCCTGAGGGGCCGCGGCGCGACGGCGCCTGGCGGACAGAGGGCGCGCCGCGTGATGCCGCGTTCACAGGGGCCAGCCTGTGCTGGCGCGCGCGGCGACGGCGTGCAGGCCCAGGCGGTGGCGGCCGGACAGCTGGTGCTGCCGCGCGTGGGCGGGTTGCGAAGAGCTGCTGCGGAGGGAGGAGGCGTGGCTTTTTCTGAAGGAAGGGGAGGGAACAGCGAGTGCTGCTCCCTTGGCACATACAAGAGAAGCCGGGGCGGCGGCATGCCGGCGCAGGGGCGCTGCGCCCACGAGCCCAGGCTGTAGCGGCTGCATGCGCCGCACCTCGCCCCTTGTGGGGCGCTGCGGTGCGCCGCGGCGCGGCGCCCCCTGCGCCGCCCGGCCGGGGCGGCCCTGTGCACACGACGGGGGCGCGCGTGTGCGCGTCCATGTGGGTTGATACGGCTGCACTGGCGCCTTGTGGGGCGTGGCCAGCAATGGCATGAGGATTGTGCCTGTACCCCATGTGGGGTGCTGCCTTGTTCCCTGCACACCACACCCGGGTTGGGTCTACCCTTCATTGCATGAACCGCGACTACCCCGCTGCCTTATACGCACTGCTCACTGCACACCCGGCCGCGCGCGGACGGCCCCAGCGTTGGTATCACTGTTGTTGTCAAACCCCGGCCCGCGTCCGCCGAGCCGCCAGAACCTATTTGGGGTGGCGTTGCCTTGGGGCACGTGTGCCGAGAGCCTCTGTCCGGCCCTGAACCCTGGCGGCGTACGGTGTGGAGGGCGGGTGTCTTTCGCTGACCACAACCCGCTTGGATGCTGCCGCTGACGTGTGTGCTGCCTTGTCGCGTAATTGATGCATAATGTACTGTTGATCTGGTAAATAACCAAAGGGGAGACAAGGTTACCGTTGACTACTGATTGGGTTGTGCGCGTGAATGTGCACGCCGCTGCCGCATTGTCGGCGAGCGCAAATCACAGCGGCTGAGGTGGGTAGGCAAAGATTGCTTGCCAACGGCCGGGCGCGGCAGGGGCAGGGGGGCGCGGGCTCTCCTGGGCAGCGGGCGACGGCGGGTCGTGTATGGATTACCCTGCAGACGGGGCACCCTGCAGGCAGTGCAGGCGTTACGTATGTCTACGTAAGCAAACCCCTCGGTGCGCAAGAGCTGAGGGATCCAGCCCAGCAAGAGAATCCCAGGGAAAAGAGCCGCCTGGGCCAGGCGTAATGCGCAGCGCTGCGCAGCCGCTCGTGAGAACGCCCCTTTCAACCCCGCGCCCGCGCCTCGCCGCGCAGGCCGCCGTTTGCTTCACAGGCGGGCCCGCCGAGGCGGGAGGCGGAGGGCGCACGAGACAGAAAAGCAGAGGCTCGGGCCGGTGGTGTACAGATGGAGACTAAGAGGAAAGCGGGCGGCCTACAGTGCTCCGCCGAAGGCTGGAGAGGACAGTGGCGCATGCAAAAACGAGACGCGGCTTCGCCGCCATGTGTGCGCGCCTGCGGCGGCGGGGCGGGGCAGGGCCCGAATGCAGGTGGGGAGGGCCCGAACCAATAAGTGCGTCTCAGGGGGGCACGCCTCGCCTCGGCGGCCCTTGCGGCGGCGGTGCCGTCGACTGGGGCGGGCGCGCAGGCAGAGCTGCACGTGTGTATAGCCCGGCTTTGGACGGGTGCCGGCTGGCGGCAACCCAATGCAACGGGCGTTGCTGGGAGGGAACGGCACCGTCACCGCGGCCCCGGCGCATGTATGTGCCGAGAGTGCAAAAAAGGGGCGCGTGCCGTGCGCTTTGGGGGCGCGCGCGTTCGCGCTCGCCCGCAGGGGCGCAATCGCGCCAACTACCGACCCCCGCCCGGCGATTGGGGAAAACTGCCGGAGCGGGGGCGACGCTGCGGAGCCCGCGCGCAAGGCTAGGCCGCGTGCCTGCCTCGGCGCCCCTCAGCGCCCAGGGCGATGGCTCGCATCTGCTTGGGCGGGGCGGCGCCAGGCGGGCAAGCCAAAGAGTCTGGGTGGGTACGGGGGCGCGGGGCCCGCCACCGCGCACCGGAGGCGCGGCGGGCGGGGTGCAGACGCGAAGCAGGCGCGGGCCCGCGGCAGCACGGGCGACGACGCCCCGCCCGCGCCGCCCCCCGCGCCCACGGGAGGTGGGCGG